GAAAAAAAGTCAGCGAAATACAGTGCTGTAATGACATCACAGAAGGAATGGAAAAGAAATTAAAATAGGACATATGTACTTCTTGTAGGGGAAGTCGAAACTACGCGGCCAATGAGAGCAGCTCAACTCACAGTATGTCATCCCCGCTGGCTACGACAAACTGTCATGGTGACGACCAGGGACGGCTGGTATATATGGGCTAACAGGGCTAAGCCCTCCCTACCTTTTACAGTAAAAATGTATTATTAAAAGCCTTAGAACATATTGTTTTAAATTTTGCTAGAACCTAGAGCAGCAATAGCACCAAAAAGTGACAGAAAAAACCCAGGATATCTGATATATCTTGATGATTGACAGGTGTCGTGACACGCCCCCTTCATATGTTGCCCATTTGGGCTAAATTAAATTAGCCCAAAGGCCAATGTCTTCGACCAATCACAGCATAGTAGCTACAGTACAGTGACTTTCGACCAATCACACTGCAGCAGCCACAGTACAGTGAGGCTAGTTGGTGGTAGAACATTGAGAGCGGGAATTGAGCAACTGTGGCAATGGCGGTTAGCATGAACATGAACAAGGTGGATTATTTACTTTCTAATAAATTTTCTTTAATGTCTTTGGAGGAAAAATTGGAAGTGAAGAGATTGGGGACACATTATCCAAATGATGTGCAAATAACACTAACTTTTGTGTAACGTGATTTCAGCGAACGGACTGGCAAACGGCAAGTATAGCTAGGAATTCATCTTTCTGTTTCCCATTTTCGGAGGAGACACGGCTTGGACACAACAAGGAATTGTGGATTTAAAACATTTATTCGACAAAATTAGGAAACATGAATGCAGCACGAGCCACATTGGAAATGCTGTAAAGCTGTCATTGCTGGGTAAAGTGAACATCGCTTGTCAGCTTGATGAAGGTCACTGCATCGCTGTACAGAGACACAACGAGCTGGTAAAGAAAAACAGGCATTCACTATCACGGATTGTGGACTGTATAACATTTTGAGGAGGACATGAGCTTGCCCTGCGGGGGTCAGACTAATCTCCCACTTCACTCCAGCGGGACGTGTTTCTCGACCTCGTCAATCAGTTCTCTTTTTTAGAAAGTCAATTAGCCCATCACCTATCAAACACACAGGTTGCAAAGTACACATCTAAGACTAGCCAAAATGAGTTGCTTGACTGTATGTTAGCTATTTATGGACAAAAACTGGCGGATGAAATATCACAGGCAACTTTTGTGGCTGTGCTCTCTCTTCTACAAATACTGTTATTTTAGCTTTGGTTTTTAATAATTAATTAAAAAATAGTTTTTGCTGCTGTGTGACGTATTGATGAGTGTAATGCATTTGTTAGCCCAGCCACCCAAAATCACCACCAGCCGTCACTGGTGACGACCATAATGTCAAACTCGAGGCTTCAAAATATTACTCCACAAACAATGGGTGATGTCAGTTGGTTAATAAAAACTTCTTGAATGATGAGACTGCTCTTTGTGTCACTGTTCACTGTTGGATGAACAGCCTACTGGGAGAGAACACACACATCTTCATTATCGGACACATCACCTGATGACCTGCACAACCTCAGCTATATTGAGTTGTTTGTGTTTACTTTATGTGAAGTATAAATGAGGTATATGGTATAAATACAAGTGAAGAATAATCAGAAGCAAGAGGTGCACATTGCAATGGAACGTAGGTTTGATTTTTTTTCCCAGTCAGTCTACGTTGGTGTCTTTTGAACATGACCACAGTGTTTCCCTAACCTAACCAAACCTTCATCACAGCTCACATATGGTTAATTTTTTGTTACGGTCATTGGTAATTGTTTTAGAAAGCACTGACTAATAATGTCATTCTGCTAAACTGGTGAAGGATCAAACCTCTTGCATTACTGGGGCTTGGATTTAGCCAGCCAATACATTAATTAGAAATTAACTAATACATTTAGACATCAATATTAAGGGAGAACTGTATGTTTGACACTTTTCACTAGGCTTTCTGGATTGCAAGCCAGCCTGGCTGGCTTTTCTTTGTCAGTACAGAATGACAGTGATGTTTTATAAGAAACATTGATTAGGATATTTGGAGCAGTCCACTCTCATCACAGTTGTCAAAGGCGAGCAGTGGAGATAGGCTGCTGTTGATCTGCTTTGCACTGACAATGTCTCCCTACACTAAGTCCAAAATCAATCTCTAATTGAACGCTCTAACAACAATCCATACTGTCTCCAAACCCAAGTGACCACCAAACTACATCATTACTTCATCAACATGTACTTTTCTACAGCTGTCACAGCACACAGCTAGACTGTGTTCAAATGGTACGCTAGTTTTCAAGAAATGTATTCTTATGTTCAAAACTTAAACACATCAGTTACATTAAATACAGCGTGCACTTCAGGTGGCAGTATAACATTTTATGTTCAAATACAGGCAAGTAAAGAAAAATATAAACCTAGTACATATTATTAAGGCCCGAGCACTGACCACCAAACTTTGCACAATTCAAACGTTGGAGAAATCGACGTATGCAATTGCACAGGCGCCGTCAAATGGCTAAGACGTGTAAGGCCGACATGTACGAAAACCGGTACGCATGATAAAAAAAGCAGAAAAGCCTCCTGGACCCATACCCCAAACCCAAGAGGAAGTCGGCCATTTTGGATTAAGCGGCCATTTCTGGCTATTTGCACACGTTGTGTTTGAATTAACTCTTCCTAGGGAATTGATCGGATCGACTTCAGATTTGGACACAGCCATTTAAAGACATTCACGATTAAAAGTTGTGCTATTTACAACATTCCGTCAAACGGTGTGCCCGTGGCGTGGCGTCCAATTTCAAGGACTCGCCATGAAAATGGAAGTTGTCATAACTTCAGCGTACAAGATCCGATCTCAGCGAAACTTCACACGTATGATAAAAGTCTCGCCCTGAACACTTCTACACGACAATATTCAGATACACTCATAGCGCCAACTAGTGGCAACAGGAAATATCATATGTTATACTTTTTCTAGCAGGTTGATCAGACCCAGCTGAAATTTGGTCAGAAAATGCAAACCATAATGTTGATGAATGTGGTTAGTTGACATTGAAGGGCGTGTTCGCGGCGTGGCGTCAAATGTGGACGCACATGAATTTGCTGTAACTTGAGTATACACAGTTTGTAAAGTTTTCTGTGAGCAAAATTATTTAATATTTCTATATCAATATTAGAATTATGTATTATTACATTAATGCTGTAGAAGTTAACTTTTATAAAAAAATAACTTTTTGTTATATTTGCTGAAATGTTACTGTGTCGTGACAGTGGTACATGAACAAGGAATTCAAAATAACGAAAACATGGTAGGCTAGCCTTGTGCTTCTAAAATAGAAAGTAATTGTAACTGGTAATGCCAGTTTTATTCTCTGCTGGGCACAGATAACTTCTATCCTTATGATCACACAATGAGTTTTGAAAAAAAAAGGAAAGGGTTACTTTACTTGCTTTTTTCTGGAGCTTCGATCTGCATGCTGAGGAAGGAGCTGGAAGCTCAGTTTGCTCATAGGTCATGGAAACATAATTGAAGTTTCATATGGTTACATCATGACAACTGAGCAAACTATATTTGACATGCTGTGATTTATGTTTATGGTTTTTTTTGTTTGTCTTGTTTTAAGGACTAGAGGAGCAGTTAGCTAATTTAAAGATTTTACTGATTACAGAACTGTATATGGATATGGTCTGATAATTACTGTGGCCGCAAATCACAATGACAAATAGTAAAACACGTCAGCAAATCACAGGAAATGGTTAAAGTGACACTTCAGAGGAAAGGACATCTTGTTTCTCTAAAAACATATTTCCTTGGTTCTTCTCTCCTTGCATGGTTTCCTTGCATCTCTCCATTCATCCCCACATAAATACTCCAGTAAGGAAAACGTAATTACAACCTTTTAAAAAGGTGCACAGTGCATCCATCCAATCAGCAAAGATCCTTGTAGATAGCAAGTATCTACATTTTCAAGTAGAAGTTAATGCCTGTATTGTATTTTCTGCTTTGTAGCATAGTTTGTGTGATTTCTGATTTATTTTTATTTTCTCTTTTGTTAATTTGATTTGCTATTTGTTGTTGTATTTTCCTATTTGCCGTTGTGATTTGTACTTCATGGCCACCAATTGTGTTAATGTTGTAATATTGTATGTAAGTACGTTTGATGCAGGGATTGATTATGAACGTAATGACTAAAGAGTTCGGTCTAGACCTGCTCTATTTGAAAAGTGTCCTGAGATAACTTTATGAATTGGCGCTATACAAATAAAATTGAATTGAATTGAATTTAATTGAATTGACTAATAAAAACACATAATTTTTGTGTCAACACAATCACGTTTATGATTATTATTATTTTTTAAGTGATTTAGGACATATTTCATATAATTTTGTCCATCATATCTATCAGTTGAACATTTTACTCACCAGCTTTATTGCTGGCATATGAGGTGATGTTTTCCATGTATACAATTTATTTGGCAGGCCCATTTGTCCCCACCAAAAAGATTTGTGTTGTATTTCCTTTTGAGCTAAAGCTGAGCCTACAGAATGTATGGTAGCCCCATCTCTTTATCTATGGGCGTATATTTTTACTTTACCAAGTAACATAATGTTTTAAACAGTCAATTGAATGATATAATGTAGCTTCTACATGTGTATTTCAAATACTGAATGAAACCCCCCTAATTCTACCTTCTAATGGGCTTTGAAACTTGTTTTTGTATAAAAATATGTATGAAAGAATTGTATATACCCTGGAAAATTGCACTGTGAAGGATATGTAAGTAAGGTGTTAGTCAAACACCACAAATAAATGTCCAACTTTTGGAGTTCCTGGAGTCCATGGGAACATAATGTAGTAAATTGTGAATCAACAGATAATTACCTCATACTTAAGGTAGAAAAGAGGTTTTGTAAGGGAAGAAGCATATTCTTACCTTAAAAATTGACTTACCCCGTTTCTGCATGAAACTGAAAAGGTCATCAAGAAACTCTTTGCGCTTTTCGTCATCATCAAGTTCATATAACTGAAAAAGAAAGGAAGAAATCAATTAATAGGCTAATGTAAAAAACATTTTAACCAAAGAAAATCAAGAACATTTTTGATCAGCGGTAGGTTGGTGAGGCCTGTGAGTCTCTGAACAGTAAAGTTGCCTAAGACTGTGGCCTACACGGATGAGGACAGTGTATCCTTCTTGGGAATATCGGAGTAACCTTGAGCACAGTGAGTGTGTCAGCAGCTACTGATCAGCAGCACAGAAAATCTGACTTATACCTTCAACACAAAGACACAGTGCCATAATGGTGCTGGAACAATATTAGGAAAATGTGTTTTGCTGATGAATAGCTTTTTCACATCTTGCCACCTTAGAGAAGTATGTCTTTGTCAGTTCTAAACGTATTATGAACTTTTAAAATTCAATCCCCTCAAGGATCTGCACAGACACAGTCACTGAGCACAAATATACAATAATAATAATAATATTAGTAGTAATAATACATTTTGTTTATAGAGCATTTTTCTAGAAACTCAAATACACTTCACATTACGTCAAAACAGGTTATAGAAATCCACTGAAATTTAATTAAAACACTCAACAATGACTCAAACATTAAAAGCAGTTCTGAAGAGGTGGGTTTTCATCAGTGATGAAAGTGGATGGATCAGTACAGTCTTGGATGTGTTTGGGGAGAGAGTTCCCAAGGTACGATGCTTGGTCCTCAGGGGTGGAGACAGGAGGTTGGCGTCAGAAGAGCAGAGGCTTCAGGAAGGAGTGTGGTGATGGAGCAGGTCTGCGAGGTAGGAGGGGGCCTGGTTTGGGAGAAGGACTTTAAATTGGATCTGTTGTTGGACAGGGAGCCAGTGGAGGTTCTCGAGGACAGGGGCGATGTGGTCACAGGAGCAGGTATGGCTGAGCAGGCGCGAAATTATAAAAACATAATTATTATATATAATTATTGAAAAATGGTAAATGTAAAGCCTGAGAATAAAAACCTATAATATCTCAGCAAGATATCTCCTTGTGTCTGTCTTGCATTTGTGTTTTAGTAGTACTACTTTCGTTATTGGCATATCCATTATGCTCCTCATCCCGACCCATTCCCTAGGTCAGCGACAGAGTCAAAGAGGCTTTTAAATGAGCCTCTCCAGACAGATACAGCTGATGGAAATATGTTAGTGGCAATGTTCAATTTCAGTAAGGCCCAGAGCCACGTTAACCGGGCCACTTAATCAATACTAGAAGACAGAGGGATGACCTTTGGAATCAGTGGGGCCCCTTGGATGAGGCCCCAGAGATAATAACTGATCATTTAGAAGTGTATTAGCTGTCACCAATATTAAAGGACCAGTGCTGGTCAGCACTCAGGAGAAAACCATGGGGGGGGGCTGTTCGTTGAAGGAAGGGTTCCGGAGGTGGGAGGTGGTGTGTGTTTGTGCTGTGTGTTGGATGGGTTTGAGTGCATTGTGAGTGCTGCACTGCAGGCGGTCCATGGTGCAGGAAATATCGAAAGGTAAAGGAACAGCAAGCTATTGCAAAAATGTTAAGTGCACAAATGCACAGCAGATGACAATGCCGCAGGATCAATTGTGAGGCTCAAAGAGTGCTAAGGCATATAAGCAGAGACAATCATAAGAGTATGTGCTCACAGAGGCAATAACACACGTTAGCATGCACACAAACACACACCAGCACAAAGAAGTGCGTATTTTTAGGGCCCGAGCACTGACTGGTGCATTATTATCATGCAAGGAATTATTCTTTTTCCAAAGGAATTATGAATTATGAATGCATTTTTTTTTAGGGTCTAAAGGTGCGTGAAAACCAATGAAACTCCACAAATGCATCAGAAATTGTGAAAATATATATGTTATATGGGTCTTGCGCAAAGGTGTGGCCCCCATGATTAGTTTGACCTAGCAGGGATCAGCAACCTTTACTATCAAAAGAGCCATTTTGACCGAAAAAAACAAAACATATAGCCACATTAAAATTGAACAGGGTCCAAGCAGGTTGCAACAAGAAACACTTGAATATACATACAGAATCACCACTTTGCCGACCTGTTCTGTGACCTTCTCAAAATTAAGACAATAACATCACGTGTGAAAGTGGAAAAATATTTGTTTGCATCAGTGTTATGTTGTTTTTGAATTGCTTGTTTGTGTTTGTGACATAAAGCTAGTTTTTAATTGTGAATAAAACCTGAAGGTTTTCGGTGGTGTTAAAAACTGTTAAAAAGAAAAAAAGTCTGTCTAAAAGAATCATAGTGAAATGTGAGAGAGGGCTAGGGCTCAGTAGAACTGTGTTTTTCAGCTTCAATCAACAGATTGGGAGCTCCTGTGTATCTCTACATTAATTTCACTTCAATCTCTGAGTGTTGCCCTTAGCAGGGATCAAACTCAACCTGTGGATCTAACAGGGGACTCACTGGGTTGGAGACACTTTCTATACATCTTCTCACAATGTGAGACTATGATATCACAGACTAGGCTATTTCTGTTTGTTTAAACTTGAAATGGTTACAACAGTCAAAATGTTGGTGAGATATTTTGGTGATGTTTGATCAAACAAAATACAGTACTAATTACAGTAAGACACAATCTCACTGCAGAGTCACCCTCTGACCGATCTGAACGCGTTTAAGAACATGTGATATCTTGTCTTCAAAGAGTTTCTGTGTGGAAGTTGGTAGCATTTGAATTAAGACTTGTGGAGATAGATGTTAGTTGATTTTGCAAATTTGGAAAAATGTAAAGTCACATACTTCTGAATTGATCATTCGAACAAACCTTTGTCACAATTAAGTGAATGTACCGAAAAACATTCAGCTCTGTAGGACATGAGCAAGGGAGGCACCAGGTCAGATTATAACATGTAATGCACACTTAGTTGCCACAATGTTAGATACTGAACTCAAAATTGCCTGAATGCTTAGTTTCCATTCTGGTGAGCAGTTGACATCTTGCGTGGAGGCCACTGCCATCAGTGTATGAATATGGCCCTTTGCTGCGTGTCATTCCCTCTCTCTCTGCCCCCCCTTTCCTGTCTATATTTGGCTATCACTATACAATAAAGGCAATAAAAGGCCAAAAAAATAACTAAACAAAAAACATGCTGTCTGATCAGGCTAAATCAGAACATGGTGCATGTATTCACTCTGACTGGCTTCCTGTACAAAGGTTATAAAGTTATATTTTTCAAAGACTGCAGCGGTCCGTCCTATTTCGTCACTTTTTGATAGACAGGCTGAGGCAGGCTGAAGGACACTGGGTTCAGCTGAACCTGGAGGCTCTTAGGCTGCTCTCAGGCTGTCAGTCACCAGGGTCAGCTGAGGGGAGCCCGCTGACAATGAATTTAGAAATGCCTCCTGGCATCTCTCCGTTACCAAAACTCTCCCTGTAACTTAAAGTCTATAGACACACTGTGATTTAGTTAGTATAGTTGCCATAGTTATTTTAAGGCTTCTGTCTTGTATATTTGAATTTTTATATGACAGTTCAATGCTGATGTCTAAACATTTAAACAAGTTAAATTAAATTAAAATTTAAAAAAAAATTAACATTACCTTTAGTTGCCAACTTTTGGTTGAGAGTAAGATGATTGCAGGAATAAGGTCAGCTGTCAACTATCAACCAAATCTTGTAGTAAAAAGGTTCCAGCTTCTGAATGAATCTTGATCGCTTGGCAATAGGGCCAAGTAGCCAGGAAAAACAGAGAATCCGTTCAAACAGCCAGAGTCTGGGAATAATTACTGTCTGTTGTATTACTTCAGAGCAGAAAGACATGAGTAGTGCCTTTTCTTTTAACCTTGCGAAGAAGAAGAACATTATATACTTTAGTAATCCCCAATGAGGAAATTATTTTTTCACTCGATGTTTACATAGAGTGGAACTAACACCTCTCCAGCTAACATAATTTTTTTAATTTTATTTTATTTTAATGTATGTTTAATGTATGTATGTTTCGTATGCTCCTGGATACTTGAATTTCCCTCGGGATAAATAAAGTATCTATCTATCTATCTATCTATCTATCTATCTATCTATCTATCTATCTATCTATCTATCAAAGCTGTCATCAAAATGCTTAGGAAACATACAAGTAAAGAATAAATGACTGAAGAACTCCTGCAGTTACAGAGCTGGAGAAGAGCCAACACTTCAGTCACACAGTGACCATCGCCATTATAAGCAGCTTTCACATGTCTCAGAGCACACTGCTCGCCTTCATCTGGGCCACTTCAAAGGCCAGCATGGCCTCCAGCCAAAGAAAATCACTGCAGACACCAAATCACCATGCTGCCCCTCCCATCCTTTCATCCTCAGAACCTCCTCCTTCTGATCTATTCTGCTGCTGTGATATCAATAAGCATAATTTGTGTTTAAACACACTAAATATTAAAGTTAATGTTCATTTTGCAAACTTGTTTAATAGTGAAGAATAAACAACTAAATCATAACATGTACTGATAAAATAGAGGCCTTGAGGTGACACTTATTACTAGTATTATGGTTTTCCTAAATAAACGTTAAATGTTTTGATCAAGCTAAAAACAAATAACTAATTACTACCTACACTGTAAAAAAACAAAGAAAGAAAATTACAAAAACATTTCAAAGCAACTGTCTTCATTACATTTTAAGTCAAACTCAAGTTTTGAAATAAACTACAAGGAATTAATAATGATTTACTTTTCTTCTGAGGAAGTTTGTTTGTTTGACCTAGACCTTAAACGTTTAGTGAAGACAGAGTTTCAGTTGTTTTTTGTACAATGTAATACATACAAAATGTCCATACCTCATTTTTGCATTCAGGTATGTTATGTTGCTCTTTAGATACTATAATTTCATTTAAAAAAGTGTGGAGAAAGAATTAAAGCCTGCAAGCAATAAATGCTAACTTATAATTAAAGCTGCAAGCAGCGTTGGGCGGGACCTCGCACTCCACGCAACTCGGGGCGTGCTGCAGCCGCGTCGCGTACCGTCGTAACACGTGCGGACCACAACATGAAAATCTGCTGTTAA